GAGCCCTTAAAGGGGCGCCTTCCTCACCAGAGCCCGGCGGTGGGCCCAGGACCCTGAGGCCAAGGGCAGCCCCTAGAAGAGGAAGTGAGGCTGCCTCTGGGCATCTCCGGGGCAGGGGGTGGGCTGCATGCCTCTGCTCTGAGGGGCCACAAACAGAAGTGTCTCTGGGGTCTGGAAGGCCCTAGAAGAAATGATACAGGAGGTCTGTTGAGTCCTACTTAGAAAGAAACCCAACTAAGGTCTGTGTATTTTCCTCGGAGCTGAAAAGTTCAGTGAAGTAAGAAACAGAAAAGCCTGTGTTACCACTAAATGGGGAAGTCGGTACATTTTCTTCCTCAAGACTCTACCTTCCAGGAGCTTCCTTGCCTTTTCATTGTGAGGACAGCCTGGGTCTGTGTGTGTAGGGAAGAGCCAGCCCTGGAGAGGGGCTGAGGCCAAGGGAAGTTTCTACCCTGGAGAGCAGGCTGTGGTCCAAGGCTACACCCCACAGCTGGTGTATGTGTGTATGTATGTGTGTTTGTGTGTGTATGGGGGGTTGAAGTCTACACCCCACTGCTAGGATGTGTATTTGAGGGCGGGGTCCGAGTCTACACCCCACTGCCGATGTGTGTGTGTGAATGCCTAAGAATGTGTGAGAAAGTCTGTATGTGTATGAAGGGGGTTCAGAGAGGGAATATAAATGGGGACTAGACAGGGTCGTGGGTACACAGACATCCAGGAAGGCAGCCACGGACTCCGCAGAAGGGCGTCCTGGGGAGGTGGGGGCACAGCGTGGAAACGCCCCACTCACACCACACTCCTGGCCCTTGGGCAGAGCAAGCGGGGGCCAGCCAGCCTACTCTGCCTGGAAGACAGCCGCTGTGGGAACTGTGCCTCCTCCCTGAGTCCTGGAGATCAAGGGAGCTTCTGCAATATTATAGTTGGAAGTGCATTTGAAACTGCAAAGGGCTATGCAGAAATTCGAGAATATCATTCAGCAAATGGCTGAGGCACTGTGCTCCCTAACTGGACTCAGGGTGCCTGCTGGACACACAGGCCCCCATGTGGGAGCAAATGGACATCTGGGGGCACCAGGCGGCTCAGTCGGTTAAGCCTCGGACTCTGGATTCCGGCTCAGATCATGATCTCAGCATCGTGAGATCATGCCCTGCCTCAGGCTCCACACTCAGCGAGGAGTCTGCTTGAGATTCTCTCTCTCTCTCTCTTTCTCCCTCTGCTTCTCCCCCTGCTTGTGCACGTGCTCGCTCATGCTCGCTCTCGCTCTTGCTCTCAAAATCAGTAAATAAAATCTTTCAATGCAATAACCTTCCCCCCCCCAAAAAAACAAGAGACATCTGTATGACTACCCTAAATGCACCCACCATCCTCCTCATCTAGTTCATCTTGAGACTCACAGATGATAATGAACATGTTGGTGCTTTGAACACTGGGCTGGAGGCTGCAGGTGTGAAGCACTGCGTGTGCGTGGGGGGGGGTTGGGTGAGCTGCACCAGAACCAGGAGAGAAGACCAGCTTCCATCTTTTCTCTACCACTTACCACTCAGTGCCCTTTGGGAAAATCACTTAACTTTTCCTCTGTTCAACAAAAATGGGGACCCATGCTTTGTGCTCCTTACAGAGCTTTTTTCCTTCTCTGTGTGTATGAGGGTCAATGAAAATATGAATTTGGAAGCATTTTGAGGTGGGTCCATTGAGGCCAAGAGACTTGCAAAGTTCTTACCTCTTATAGGTGGAGAAGTTAAGTTGGATTGAACCTGGGGGCCATGACTCCCAAGCTCAGCCTCTTTCTATGCCATGCCAAGCAGTATTTAGGAATAAAAATAACAGTAATACAGGTTATAAACAGTGATCACCATTGCTTTTGAAAACACCTCAGGCCACCTGGCACTTCCATGTTCATTTGAGACGCCCCTCTGGGCTGAGGGGACCCGGCTTGGTCAGGACAGCAAGGTCTCCAACTCAGACCCCACTCATCACTCATCCCCTCCACCAGCCACCCTTGGACAGTGCACAACCTGTCCAACTCCACATTGGCAGCCTTGATGGTTATCACCTTAAGTTCTGAGCTCCTTTTCTACAGCAGGGTGGCTGTGCACTCAACATTTTACTGTCATCCAGGTTGTCCCCCGACAGAGAGCAGTGAAATCAGTGGGCTAAAGGGTAGATCTTGGCCAGGAAAGAGTGTTGCCAGCCTGCCAGCCAGCCAGACACGGGCAGCACCCTCCCCCTTTCCTGAGAGAACAGGGAAGGAGGTGTGGCCTACAAGCAAAGGGAAGAAAGACCAGAAGGAGAAGAAGACCACTGTGGTCAGGATTTACATCAGGCACATTCTCAGCCCGCAGAGGAGGAGAAGACATTGTCAAACTTCCCTCGAAAGAGGAGACAGAGAGAGAAAGGAGTCTTGAATTTTCCCAGTGTTTCCAAAGAGCCTCTCCATCCCTGTTGCCAGCTTCCCCCCACAACCAGGAGATCCGGCCAGCCCGGAATCCCAATACCCTCAAGGGAAGAATAGCTGAGCCTTCTCTGGGGAGAAGTGAGGGAAGCCCAGTGACCTCCCTTGCCTCTTCACTCCATCTATTACACACCCCTTTCTTCAGGGTGTGGACCAATGACAAAGCTGTTTTTTGTGCATCTTGCCTTGGTGAAGACATGACCCAAGTCCTGGGGTTCATGGGACTCCCTCCACACTCAGCAGCTGCTGGAATAACTCAACACAGAGCGAAAGTCATATAGTACCTGGTAGGTGGAGGCAACCAGCCGAGACACCACTCTGTATGTTTCTAGGCCAAAGGAGTTTCTAGATCAGAGGGTCAATGTATTACCTGATAAGAACACAGAGTTTTGAGTCAGCTGACCTAGATTCAAGTTCCCACTCAGTTACTCACCCACCCAGCTGGTGACTCAAGTGAGTTAACTAACCTCTCTGAGCCTGCTTCCTTATCTGGAAATCAGAATTAATGGCCACATGATGGAATCACTGTCAATTAAGGTATGAAAGACTACAGTGGGGTGGGTCAGCATGAAAGTGAAGGACAGCGTATTTGGAATTAAAGAGCCCTAATTTGGGGTCCCAGTTCCATTGTGCACCACCACTGGGACCTTAGATAGGTACTGACATTTTTTTTTCTTTTAATATGGACTCTATTTCTTAGAGCAGTCTTCGGGTCACAGTAAAGTTGACTGGAAATTACAGCATTCCATATACCACAACCGCCCCCACCCCCCGCCCCGGAACAGCCTACCCCATCAGAGTGGCACATTTGTTACCGTCAGCGAACCTACCCTGACACATCATCACCCAGAGCCCAGAGTTTACATCAGGGTACACTTCTGGTGTACATTCTATGGGTTTTGACAAATGAATAACGATATGTATCCACCATTACAGTACCACACAGAATGGTTACACTGCCCTAAAAATCCTCTGTGCTCCACCTATTCATTCCTCCCTCCCCTGAATTCCTGGCAGCCACTGGTCTTCTATTCTCTCCGTTCTTTTGCCTTTTCGACAATGTTGTATGGTTGGAATCATACCCTATGTAGCCTAACCAGATTGGCTTTTTTCACTTAGTGATGTGTATTTAAGGTTCCACCATGTCTTTTCATGACTCAATAACTCATTTCTTGTTAGCACCGAATAATATTCCACTGTTTAGATAGACCACAGTTTATTTATCCTTCCACCTACTGAAGGACATCTTGGTTGCTTCCAAGTTTGAGCAATTATGAATAGAGCTGCTATAAACATCCATGTGTAAGTTTTTGTGTAGACCTAAGTTTTTCACTCATTTGAGTAAATACTGAAGAGCACCACTGTTGGATCATATGGTCGCTCTCACTTTCTTGAGCCTCATTTTCTTCCACTGGTAAAGTGGAAAGAACATAGTCCTTCAGGGTATTGTGAGGTTTCTTTGAGCTAATGCTCGAGAAGCATTTAGCACAGCACCCAGCACGTAGGCAGCGGTCAACTAAAGGTTGTCCTGCTCAAGCGCTGATGGGAACACGAACACGGGAGATGCGAATCCAAGCGCGGAGTGGAGGAGAGGACATTAGGATGTCATAGTCATGGGTCATCTGTCCACAGTCCAGGAAGGCACAGGGCAACAGGGAACGGTGACAGGCCAGCAGAGCACTACTCCCTCCATCGAGGGGGAGTATGGTGGCCTCCTATGGGCTGTGACCCCGAGTGCTGCAGGCCTGAGCAGCCTAAGCTGGAGGGGAGGTAGAGATAGATCCACATCACTGGCCACAGGGAAGCCGTCTTTCTCAGGTTCAGCAAGTCAGAGACCCCGGGGATCACGGACCCTCAGACATCTGCAGTCCTCTACTGAGTCCTGCTCGCAACTGCCCAAGCCTGCTCTCCCCTTCCTCCACTTGACTCATCTGAAGGAGAGCCCTGCCCATAACCAAAAGCTCAGAGGTGACAAAAACAAGGGTTTGTTTTGTTTTGTTTTATCTTTTCACCTACTTCCTGTGTACTCACTTCATTGTTCCCAGAATTACCAAGTCACCAGGAAGCTTTGCTAGCTCAGGTTTTTTTCCTGTTGTTTATCTTTTTGCTTCTCTGGAGACAAGGCCTACTTGGGGTCTAGACTCATACATAGAGTATGAGCCGGTGGTAGTTCTTTGGAACCCAGTTCTTTGGGATGTCTTTGGAGACACCGAGTGAGGCCATGGGGCTGAATAACAAAATGAGCCCCACTGGTGTGGTGTGTGGTTTCAGAAGGCCGTGCGTTCTACGGAAGGGACTGGAGCCCCGTTCCCTGGGCCTCGGGCGCTGGGCCGTGCTAGCTGGAACTGGTTGTGCTTTGCTGTTTATATCTTACTCTTCCTTCTCTAGGCTACCACGGAATTATTAAATGGTTTGAGTCAGAATCAGGCCTGAGCCTTCCAGGAAGCTTTGCTTACTCAGCCCCTGCCCAAAGCTCCTTACTTCACCTTCTGTCCAATGGGGTCATCAGGCCATCCGCACACCCCCGTCCCCCTCCTCACAGACAAACCTTGGGGAGCAGTGAGAAGCGCTTGTTCTTGAAGCGAAGCCTTTTGGAGAGCTGGTGCTTCTGCCAGCAATGCTTACAAAGCAGGCACGTGGAGGAGGCTGCCGGCTGAGAGCCTGGCGTAGGTGACGGCTAGCGACATCTGCGGAGCATCCTTGGGCACGTCGCCTCCAACAGGAGGGTGTTTGACTTGATGACTTCTTCGATCTCTTCTAGAACCTATTTTAAATGCTTTTCCAAGTGACCCCAGCACTGTCCAGTAGAAGTTTCTGCAATGGTGGAAAAGTTCACTAAAGCTTCACTGTCCGATAAATGGCTACTGAGATGTGAAATGTGCCTAAGGCGGGCAAGCAGCATTATTTCATTTATTTTATTAAAATTTATTATTAAAAATTATTAACATTATTACTGGAAAAATTAATTATTTTAATTAATTTAAATTTAAGCAGCCATGGTGGCTACCGTATTAGACAACACGGATCTAGGAAGCTGGATTCTGTCTTTAAAACCGTGGATTCTGTCAATTATACCTGAAAATTATATCACAAATCCACCCACTTCTCTTCATTCCCATTTTCCACCTTCAGCTGAACCACCAGCATCTCGTCCTCCTTCATTTCTCTTCTCCCACTTTCACCCCCTGTGATGCTTTTGCCCCAGCCCAGAGCAATCTTCTTAAGACATAAAATTGGCCAAGATATTCCTCTTCTCAAAACCCTTCAACGTCCCCATCGCAGTCAACCTGAAAACCCACATGAGGCCCGCAGGTGCCTGTACTCTGAACGCCGTTCGCTACAGACCTCATCTGGCTCCCGCCTCCCCATCGTACCCCACACCTTAGGCTCCTGGAAGCCACCAAACCCTTTCTGAGCTCAGAGGCTTTGCATAAACTTCCCCTTGGTCCTAAAGCTGTGCTGCCCAATACAATGGCCACTAGACACATGAGGCTCTTTACATATCTATATTTAAATGAAGTAAAATTAAATAAAATTAGAAATTCAGGTCCTTGGTCACACTAGGCATATTTCAAGCGCCCCATAGTCACAGGTGGCTTGTAGCTACCATGTTGGATTGCACAGACATGGAATATTTCCATCCTTATAGAAAGTTCCTTTGGACAGTACAGTTCTGGAACATTCTTCCCCACACTCGAGCTAGGCTAATTCCTACCCATTTTCCAAGTCTCAGCTCAATATCACATTCTCACAGAGGCCTTTGCTGGTCCCTCAGTCTAAATTAAGAGCCCCTGCTGTCTTCCTTATAAAGCCTGCAATTTTCCTTTTTCGTTCTTACAACTGTTTGCAAAGTGATAGTTGCACACATGGTTGTCTAATGCATGTGTTTTCTATCAAAGTCTCAGAAAGTGTCTTCTTTGTTTACCAATCAATCCCCTACCCTTATCTCAGCTCCTCACACTTGGTGGAAGCTCATTTATGCTGAGTGAATGAATGAAATAATGAATAAATGTTGGATGGAGTGGTTGCATATCATTTACTTGCCTGACAGAGCGCTAAAGAGCAAGAGCTCAGGAACTCTATGAACCTGGGATGAAGTCCTGACTTCCATACTTATTTTGGCCGATTGGTTAATCATTCCAAGCCACCGTCTCCCCACTGGTATGAAGGTATGCTAATGCCCAGCTCAGAGCAGAGTGGTGAGCAGTGAATGAGGTGGGTCATCAGGGCCGTGTGTATTTCTTTTCCTTTACTACTTCCCCTATGTCCTTCCAGTCTTCTCCGTGGTCCTCTCCCTCTCACACGGCCTCTCTGGCATTAACCTCTAAGTCTCTCATCCCTCAGTCCCACCCTCACTAGGAGGACTTTATTTCTCTCTAAGCTGCCACCACTCATTGATCAACCACAACATTCCTCCCACAGAGAGAGCCCACCTTGTTTGGGCCCTTCTTCACTGCCTTCCCTGCCTTTGGCTATATGAACCAGCCTGACCCCCCACCCGCCCAGAACTCGTAAAAGCACACACCCATCCTGGAGATGCTCTCAGAATAGCAGGTGCACACAGCACCTGGCCTAGAGTGATACCAGTCAATTCCTATTTGTGGACCACCTACATCAGCTTCCCTTCCAGTGCTCGTTTAAAATGCAGATTCCTGGGTCCCAGTCCTGACTCATCTAATCTCTACAAGGGGAGCCCTGGAAGCTGCATTTTTCAATAGCCACCTCAGGCAACTCTATTGCTCAAGGCCAAGTCTTGGCAGTGCATAATATTTAATCCCATGGAGCGCTGGGAGGATTCTTCTGATAAGTCACTCACCGATCCTCCCTTTAACTTGTATAAAATATCATTTTACATCAAAAGATGACTTAGCAAATACCTACCTAGTAAGTTATTAAGTGAATTACTAGTATTTGGGACTTGTAAACTCATGTTAAAAATTTACTGAGATTTACAGTGAGCCCCAACTCACTGCTCTCCCAGGAGAAGGAGGCAGCCACACTGTACGAGGCCATCCTCTGGACTGCATGAGGCATGTGTCCAAAAAAGTCACTGCAAGTCCCCAGTGAGTTTAGAAGGATTTGCTGCAATAAGAGGCCGATCACTGTTGTCTTGAGGGTCATGACTTTAAATTGCTGCTCTTCTTGGCCTTTGAGGATAACTTCTGGTTGGTTCATCTTTGCTGATTAATTTATTATGGGCTGCATGGTGAGCCCTGTAGTTTGTAGGGGTGCAGGTTGATACTGATGCAAGCGTGGCCTAGACACACGTTCTCAGGAACTAGACTCTAAGGCGTGCAGCCTGCTGTTCAAATAGGAATAATCAGAATAATGTTAAAGCTAAAGCCAGTGTGTATTTATGTAATCTCTCCAAAGTTTACTTTAGATTAATATTTCATTATTGTAACCAGGTTCATGTTCCATGTGGCAGCATAAAGGGTGGGCTGGGCTGGCTGCAGGCAGAGTCACGTGACCAGCACTCTGCGGCACGCAGCTATGTGACTCCTCCTTTTTATCTGCCCTGCACCCCAGGCCGCCTCCTCCGGTCAGAACTGCCAGGTCCCCCGGGGCCCTGCCTCGCCCCCCTGCAGAGTCTGTCTCCACTGACCACTTTCCCTGGTACCTATCCCAGAAAGGCACTGAGCGGCAGTCTTAGGTGGGGGTTTCTCAGAAGTAACAGCGAGAAGCATCCCCGGGCCCTGTCTTTGTTCTCCTCTTCCTGGGGGTCTCCTTGTGACTCTTCCCCACCTTGCCTAGGAAATTACAGAGCACAGCAGCTGCCTGATAGCCCTGGACAAGTTTCAGGATGAGTCCCACATGTTGACGCCCTGTCCTTCATCAGACACCACGCTGGGCTGTTATACACAGGATCTGAAACCCTTACCGCAGCACCAGCCTGCAAGGCGGGGCTGTGTCTCCTTCACCCACATGAGGGCTGAGGGTCAGAGCCCACTATGCTGAGCTTCTCCCCCGGGGGAGCCCGAGGAGGTCAGTACCAGGACAGCCCCTCCTGTGCCTTCCTTCCTATTTCTCCTCCACCTTATCCCATTTATATTAACTTGCACAAAAATAGCAAGATCCTGTTGGTTTGCAAATGTAGAACACTTAAATTTTTCTGTTAAATATTGAGGATCATTTATATCCAGTGAAATGCCTAGCTCTTAATTGCAACAGTCCCGGGGTTTTAATAGATGTGTAACCCACACCCCACTTAACACACAGAATGTTTCCTCACCCCAGAAGGATCCCTGTGCTCTTTCCCGGTCAATCCCCCCCAACCCCGCAGCCAGAGGAACACATTTAGTCCTCAGATCTTCCATTCTGCTCAGGCAGCTGGGAGCAAGGGAGGAGAAAACAGAGGAGCAGGAGATGGATACAGGCAAGGAAGCACAAATATTGTCACTGTCCTAGCGACAGCCCACAGCAACTGTGTGTCCGTCCTCCTTCAGCCTATTAAAGCAACATGCCTTTGCTATGTTCTTCCCTTCCTTCCAAAGGAAACAACTTCCAAGAGGCGTCCTGGGAAGCTCGGGTGCGTCTCCCTGGGGGTTCCACTCACCAGGACTCAGGGCCTGCTCCGCGGCCCCCCCCCGGGGGGCTCACACCCAGCTGAGCTCCCACGGTCCTCCACAGCCCTCAGCTGCTGCTCTGAGGCCCCTCTTCATGCCACAGCTCCAGCATCCCCAGCAGAGCCCTCGGGTGCAGCCGGATCAAGTTAACAACAAACAACACACCTGGGGACAGCCAAGAGGCCCGGATGAAGAAACTGGGCCAGGGACCATGCACCCTAGCCACTGGGACTGCACCCAGGCCCCCCCCCCGCAGTCCCGCCGAGGGTCTCAGGACATCCTGTTCAACATGCCCGTACAAACAACCCTCGTTGTGGTCATCTCAGAGCTGTTTATGATAGCGAAACAAGTCGGCACTGAGCCAAATGTCAACATCGGGGGACTCGTTAAATAAACCATGGTGCCACCCATACAATAGAAAACCACCTAGCCATTAAAAATAACATCGAGGGAGACTATTAATAGACCTGGAAAGCCGGGCGCACCTATTGCTAACTTTTAAAGGCATCTCACAAAACAACATAGCATGTACACTTCCATCTGAGTGCTCAGGTGACGGGTGCTTGTCATTCTTCTTCTGATTTGCCAGTACTCTGTACAACGGATATGTAATAATACATAAAAGTTACTTACTGCAGGTGCCCAGCTTTTACGCTCTTAAATCACGAAGAACAAAGCATACACAGGAAGCATAGAAATGCTGCAAGAGCAATTTCACCCCCAGGGCTGAGGGGAAGGCACCGCACTCCCCACGCCCCCGGGCAGGAGTCTGCCACTGCCGGGCTCTCATTCAGAAGGTCTTTCTCTGCCCACGAGCTTGCACACATGTCTCATCATTTGGAAGAAACTGGCCCGCTTACTCCCGAGCAAAGCTAGCTGTTCGCAGGGCTCCGTGCACGTGGTCTCCTGCCTCCTTAGCCTGAAAGCCCTCTGTCATGGCCCAACATAGGTACTTTCTACCCATCGGTGCTGGGCGGGTAATGGCTCTCCCAAGACGTCCACGCCCTAATCCCTGGATTCTGTAACTATGTCACCTTGCAGGGCGAAAGGGAGTCTGCAGATGCAGGGCAGGTTACAGACTCAGAAATTGGGACTCTAGCCTGGCTTCTCCAGGTGGGCCCAATATAATCACAGGAGCCCTTAAAAGCAGAGAATGTGCTCCAGCTGGGGTCCCGAAGAGATGTAGCAAAGGAAGTCAGAAAAATCCACAGCATGAGAGGGACTCACCTCCCACTGCTGGAGGTGACCGCATGTAAAGCATAAAGGGGAGTGGGGTGGCCTCAGGGAGCAGGCGGGCCCCCAGCTGACAGCCAGCAGGGGAACGGGACCTCAGTCCTGCCACTATAAGGAACTAAACAACTTGAACGAGCTTAGAGGCAGATTCATCCCCAGGCTCTGGAAAGGAATGCAGCCCTGCCAGCACCCTGATTTTGACCTTGTGAAACAAAAAAAGGACCTAGTAGAGCTACACTGTACTCACACTTCAGACCCACACGACTGTGGGTCACTAAGTCTCAGCAGCTTTCAAACAGGCAGTTAACAGTATTACTACCTATAGTCCCAGGCTGTACCTTACAAGGTGTTGTTTCAATGCACTAAACTTGCGGTAATTTGTTACGGCAACAATGGAGAATGAACACACCATCCTTCAGCACCAGTACAAATGCCACTTCCATGAAGCCTTCTCTGATTTCTCCATGTATGGGTGAGGTCCCCTCTGAATTCTCACAGCATTCTGCTCCTGAGTTTCTTCAGCCATTACCATGGTCCACCTGTATCAGGGGTATATTTCTCCCACCAGACTGTGTGCTACTCGGCGCAGTAGCTGAGGCTTCCTCATCTTCATTTTTCTTCCAGGGCAGAGCACACACCTCATATGTAGTCAGTGTTAAATTTTCGTTGGAAGGATGTCTCATGACCTATGTGGGCGGTTACTGTTTAATAAAATGAATTGCTGTGAAAATGGACCCTAGAAATATTTGCAAATATACAAAGGAGTAGCTGACTGATGACGGAACGGGACAGCATAAGAAAAACCAGAATGTGCAGAAGAAGGATATGCTAATTTTCGGATGCTTGGAATCTGAGCACACTGGCAGTTGGCTCTGAGATGTAAATTCATACACAAAATAAACAGGATTGAAAGTTGGGATCGAAAATGTTTTAGAATATAACCTCTTAAAACATTTCAACTTCTGGCACCATGAAGTTTTAATTAAATGAATGTTCTTCTTCTGCTTCAAATGGATATAAATATTGTCGAACATGTAAAATGATGTAACACCCAGCTGAGCTCAAAAGAAAGAAAGGGAAACCCCCCAAGTTCCAGAAAATAAGAGGGAAATCAAAGTCAGAATGTCCAGAGCACGAGCTCCAAAAAGAGCTCCTATCCCCGTCGGTGCGGCTCCTCCTACACGAGGGAGCCTCTTATCGTTGGTCTCTGAGTGACTGTGTAGAGTGGACCCCCACCAGCATCCTCTGATGCCGACATAGGAATGAAGAAGCGAGTGAACCCCAAGCATAATAAATTAAAAGTTTCTCCATACCTAGGTAGCGGAATACCTTAAAACAAACTACCTTCACAGAAGAAAAGCAGCCAGTGAGCCCGAAGATATCTTGCCTGCAAAGGAATGGCTGTTGGACTGACATCAGAAAACTATGGTCCAAGGACGGGGAGAGAGAGCTGAGACCTACCATTTGGTGCCCAGAGAAGCCATCATTTGGGGAGGAGGGGAGAATAAAGACGTTTTGACAAAAGACGGAGCTGACCATTCACAAACTCTGACTGGAAAACTGCTAACAGGTGTGTTTCTGAAAGAAGGAAATTGAACCCAGAAGGAAGGAGTGGGTTACAAAAGCAGAGATGAGGAAACCAAAGGTAAACATATAAGTATAACTAAACACAGGATTGCGCAAGCTTCACACCACCGACGACTAATGGGAGTGTTCAAACCAGGTGAGACCATGGCGCCCAGGGATGGAAGCACGGTGGAAGGGAGAGCTCAGAGTGGATACGTTCAAAGGTTCTTCCACTGTGTGGTGACAGCATGTAAATCTTAAATAAATGCTGGCCTCGCTAAATACAGTGGGCAGGTGAAAAATGTACCAAAGACCTTTAAAAGAGTAGAAAGAAAATGCAGAACTGCCAAACTAGCAGAGAGAACAGGGAGGGAAGGGAAGAGAAAGCTTGATGCCAATGGAAGACCAGGAGAATAAGAGAACATGGTCAGTAGAGAAACACCAAAGGTGTCGTTTGTAATCATGAAAGATTGGAAATAGCCTGAACATCCCTTAGCAGAGGGATGAAAAAATACATTTTGACAAATACATTTAAGAAAACACAATGTAACCGATAAATGACTGAACCAGATCGAATGGGCCAAGATGGCTACATATCAAAAGGGTAATGTTGGGGCACCTAGGTGGCTCAGTGGGTTAAGCCAGCTGACTCTTGATTTCAGCTCAGGTCATGATCTCAGGGTTGTGAGATCGAGCCCCGCATGGGGCTCCGTGCTGGGCGTGGACTCTGCTTGGGATTCTCTCTCTCCCCCTCCTCTTACTCCTACCCACACACGTGCTCAAGCACACACGAACTCTTTATTTAAAAAAAAAAAAGGAGGGGTGACGTAATGTTGAATAGAAACTCCAGTTGGAGAAGGTTATCCCCATTTGATATCATGGACGTAGATTTTTTCAAAGGAATCTTTATATCGAAGAAAAATATACATATATGAAAGTGTACAAATCATAATGGACAGTTCAATGAGTTTTCACAAAGTAACTGGCCCTTGTACCCAGCACCCAGATTAAGAACTAGCACATTCCCAAGTATCCCAGAAAGACTCCCTCACATTCCTCCTGGTACTATCCCCCTCCGAAGATAACTACTGTCATAACCCTGTAGGTTAGTTTTGCCTGGTTTTGAATTTATATACATGGGATCATACACACAAAAAGTTTGTACTCACCTTGTGTCTCGCCTCTTTCATTCCATATTATGTGTGTGAGCTGCATCGTTGCTGAAGCATGAAGCTACACCTTATTCACTCTTGCCTGAGCTCGGGTTCCCCTGCGTGAATATGCCACAATTAATTTATGGACTCCATTAGTGATCTACCCTTGGGGTTTTTCAGTTTGGGACTTTACAAGCAGAGCTGCTGTGATCGATCTTGGACTTCTCTTTTGGTGCACATATGCACACATTTCCCTTGGGTATTGCTCAGCAATTGCTGGGTCAGCGGGTATGCATGCTTTCCGCTTTCGCAGACTCCCAGGTCTCCAAAGTGGTTTTACCAATTTACTTCCCTAACATTATATGAGAGTTCCAGTAACTCTGCATCTTATCTACACTTGAATTTTTAGTCTTTCAAATGTGAGCTATTCTGGTGGTTAATGGGTATGAATTTTATTTTTTTTTTAAGATTATTTATTTATTTATTTGACAGAGAGAGACACAGCGAGAGCAGGAACACAAGCAGGGGAAGTGGGAGAGGGAGAAGCAGGCTTCCCGCGGAGCAGGGAGCCCGATGCGGGGCTCGATCCCAGGACCCTGAGATCATGACCCGAGCCGAAGGCAGTCACCTAACCGACTGAGCCACCCGGGTGCCCCAATGGGTATGAATTTTAAAACACACTCACGCACAAGTACTGTACCTTGCCCATGGATATATGTATATATACAGTAAAAATATAAAAACATGAATGGGGAGGATAGACACCAATCTTAGGGTACTGATCACCTCGAGGCAGGAGAGGAAAGCCTGAGGGTGGGAGATACTTCGGAAGGTTTCCACTGTTCTTATAACATTAATTTTTATTTTTTTACTTTTTTAAAAGATTTTATTTATTTATTTGAGAGAGAGAATGAGAGAGAGAGACCACATGAGAGGGGGGAGGGTCAGAGGGAGAAGCAGACTCCCCGCTGAGCAGGGAGCCCGATGCAGGACTCGATCCCGGGACTCCAGGCTCATGACCTGAGCCGAAGGCAGTCGCTTAACCATCTGAGCCACCCAGGCGCCCATAACATTAATTTTTAAACATAGGAAACAAATATGGACAAACATTTTTGGAACTGGATGGGAAGTATATATTTGTCTGTGATTTTTCTCTGTATTACTTATGTTTGATATATACTATAATTATTTAAGAAAAAACTCTTAAAGGAAAAAATAGAGCATAAGGAAGCAAACAAATTCACAGTATATCTGGTTACAAAATTCAACACTTGAAACTTGACTAATAGACCAGACATTCCCCCATATCCCTCTTGGGGAATATATATATATATATATATATATATATATATATATATATGGGAATAGATATATATGAGATATACATGTATATGAGACAGAGATAGAGATACCTATAGATAGATAGATATGATATATAAATCTATGTATAGATCTATATTTTGCAGGGAGGGTGATTCCTCATGCTGAGCAGATACCACTTGAGTGTCCATTTAGAAATAAGAACTTCTGGGTATGCTCTTGCACTAGGAGGTTTCCATTCTACAAGTTTGGAATCCCTACAAGAGATTGTTGTCACGCGCTTGCTACACAGAACTGAAGCTATAACATATAGAGACAACAGGTCAGTAGAAAGAACAAGTCAGGTTTGAATTCTGCCACCGCCATCTCCGGAGCTCTCAGTCACCTCCCTGATATCAAGGTGGTCGGATGGACTAGGGTTTCTCAACTTCAGCAATGTTCACATTTGGGGCCAAATAATTCTCTGCTTCAGGGGGCTGCCCTGGGCATTGCAGGATGTTAGTGGCATCCTTGGACTCTACCCACCAGATGCCAGGAGTCACCACCCCCTCCCTAGTGATGGCAACCAAAGAGGTCTCCAGACATTTCCAAATGTCCCCTGAGGGACAAATCATCCCCACATAAGGACCACCGAGCTGTTCCAGCTCTAAAATGTTTTGCTTTAGGTATACCACTGGAGCAATGCATATCATTTTCTCAGAGCCCAGGTACATGTGAACATAGAAGGAGCCAACAATGGCAAGGCAGACAGCCCTGGCTGCTTTTGTGTGGGCCTCACCTGCTATCTTAGGAAAAGATGAGGATTCAGCGGAACAGTAGAGGAAATTGATGATGCCTTGACGAGAGGACATTTTTGTGAGAATGGGGCAAGTGGCCCTGAGTAATGAAGGAGACTCGGGAGAGACTCAAGATACTTGTCAAGAGCAACCAAGCACACACACCTGATCTCATTAGACTGACTTTGAACTCCCAGCAAGCTGGGAGTCCCCAGCCACACATTACCCTACAAGACAGTGAGGATTTCCAGCCATACAGTACCCAGAGGGCAGGGATACAAGAATGTAATGTGGTTTTAAATGATGCGGGTAGAAAACAGCCTACAACCTATCCTAGGGTGGGTTCCCAAGAAACCAGGATTTAGAAGAGATTGACTGCAGTGATTTGGGGAGGGGAGGGGGAGCTGCTCTCAGGACAGAGAGAATGAGCAGGGCAGGGGAAGGTGCAAAGCAAGGCCGGGGGCTCAGCGGGAGTCGAGTTTCAGCCTTGTCCCCTAGACAGTCAGCAGCAGGAATCGTACCACCAGGACAGGTGGACAAATCTTGAGGCAAGCACCCATTCTTCTGTGCCTGCTGACAGTCAGTCGTTGTCTGTGAGCTGCACTCAGGGGTGAGGGGTGCAGAGGGCTTCTAACCTCCCAGGTGAGGTAGCTTCTGTTCTAGCTGCGGGCAATTCTCCAGATAACAGGCAGCAGATACGAGACATCAGCAACCAACACAGAGAAACCAGTAACTCGCAGCCCAGTAAGAGGATTTCCAACAGTGTCTCCTGCAAGTACACAGTATAAACATGTTTGCCACCAAACTTACAACATTTTGTCCAGAGGCTGGGCACATCTTGCAATAGCAACGGGTTGACTTTATGGAGCGGCCAAGCAGGGGCCAAGTGCAGAGCTGGGCGCTTTCACAGTTGACCTCACTGAGTGTCAAAATACTGACAGCAGGTCTTGCCACCTTGCTTTTCTCAGCGAGGAGACTGAGGCTCAGAGGGTGAGTCACTGACCCAAGGGAAGAGAGCTCAGATGCTGTCGGAGCAGAGAAGAGTCTTCATGGGCAGCTCATGCTCCTTCCACTCCAACCCTGGGCTCAGCCCAGTGCCTGGCCATTAAGCAGCACACGGAGCATGCCCTGAGCAAGGAGAAGACCATGTGGGATTTTGGCAAATGAGGGCTGAGCTCCTCTCAAGCCAGTGTCCTCATCAGCTGAGGTCCGCACATCACCACCGGCTGGACCACGGCCCCATCCCCAGAGAGGTGGCAATCCCGGGCCCCAGGGGCAGGGTGGGAGTGAGCACTGGCGAGGAAGGCTGTTGCCAGATTAGAGGGGAAAGCACAGTACAAAGATTTGAACAATTTGCTCAAGATCACACAGCAGCTAAGTGAGAGACCCAAGATGGGACTGTATCTGTGGAGGTCACAGCTAGTGCTCTTGACTGCACCACCACCTTCTTGCCCTGAGCCTCTGCTTCCTCATCCATAAAATGGGTATGATTATAACACACACTGCATAGGTTTACTGCAAGAGTTCCATTAAACAATAAAAGGTAAAGTGCCTAGCAAATTGCTTTAAGAATGTCAGTTGTCATTATCAGACAAGATTAAATGGCCGAGGTGACAGAAGTGAAGGACTGTCTCCTTCCAGCCTTTTGGTAAAGGCCCGGGGAGTTGCCTGATGTCATGGGTATCTCTTAGTTAGCGGTGGGGAGCTGAGAGCCAGCCCTCCTCCCCAGGCCAGTTTGCTGGGAAAGTCACGTCAGTGTGAGAAGCTGAGACATGCTAATCAATCATCTTTGTCATTTGTGCCAAAACATAATGACACAAAACGGTCTTACTTGGTTTAAGACCACAGCCATCTGGGTGGTGGCAGTTCCCCTCAGCCCACACCTCGTTATGGTCAGGAGTTTGACTCATTCCTGCAACCTCCCTCGCACCCGTGTTTCAGAAAGCTCTCTCGTGATCCCCCAGCGGTCTGTCCCCTTTAAGCCATGGTCAAGGCTTTGAAGAGACAACTCTGCACTCCTCAAAGTGCTTTCTAATCCGTTCCCTTTCACTCCTCACAACGGTGCAGCAGAGGAGGTATGACTATCCGTGCCCATTTCACAGATGGGAAGACTGAGGTTCTGAGCAGCTAAGCGAGTTGCCCAAGAGAGAAGAGGGAAGAGGAGAAGCAGAGGGTCTTGGCCCCCGTGTGTTATACTCAGCTCCTACATAACCCAGCGTGGGCCCAGGCAGGGAGCCTGCCACCGCCCCACGGTAGGCGCTCAGTCCAGCCTAGGCGGGAAGCAAGGAGTGGCAGTGCCCCACAAGGCTGTCATGCAGCAAGGAGGACCCCTGGACCACCTCATGGGAGGAAGAACACAGGGAAATGCGTGGGCCAGTTCGGTATTTGTCAGAAGCTCAAAGGTTGGGACAATTGGCTGCACAGGGGAAGGGCCCTGGTCTCCACCCCAGGTAGGATGTGTGGGAGATGGGAAAGCAGGGGCGGGAGATATATGCTGCTCAGACTCTCAAAAATGTGCTCTGTGCTCCCTGATCTGAGGCAGGAGCCCATCAGGACAATGGGAGTGGCCCGGGCCCAGCCTCCCTATGCTCCCTACTCCCAACATCCAGGGCTCAAGTTCAGGAAAGGGACCCTTGGTCTCAGTGTCAGGCTGCCATCGAGGCACAGGCTCTGCTACCTTCCTCCCCGCAAAAGGTCTGTGTGTGGTGGGGCTGGGTGGATGTCCGGCTGGGTCAGAGGAGGCAGGCCATGAGGTGTGAGTATTTCCCACGGGCCACACTGGAGAAAGCTCACCTGAGGCCCTTTTGAGCCCTGGGCATAAAACTGCCCCACCGTCTCCAGGCAGTCCTCCTGGGTGACACCCAGTGGGGCCACACTGGAGGATGTGCGGCTCGCTCAAGCTCCCTTCCCGTCTCTGTCCTGCTGCCTCCAGCTGATTCAACTGCAGCTTCTCAAGCAACTGTCATGGTTTGGGTCTTTGAGTGGTCCCTTTGAAGTCCCCCCTCCCACGGCCTGGTCGGGGAGACCTTCCCCCCTAGAAGACATTCTCATTCTCTCTCTCTCTCCTCTTTGGCAGAGAGGATGTACAGCCTTGCCATCTTCAGAGAAATCCTCTCTCCAATCTCTCAAACTCCACTTGAACCCTTTATTTCCTTGAGGTAGGAGATGAGCTACAGGGGGCACAATCAGTTTCTGTCCCCTACAAGTCTTGCACAGACATCTTTGCATCTCACTCTGGAACGAAGGGATGTTTTCCACTTACTGTTTTGTTCCCGTCGGTGGGGCTTAAGAAAGAAGCCCGTTTTAGGATTCTGCCCTAGGA